TTCAGTTCTCTAATTTTGGTGAATATTTTTGTCATTTTTGGTAAAAAGTGATATTTTCGACTTCTTGTTGAAAACTGTAAGTCCGATTGCTTTGATATTACATATATAGGTACTACATGTGGACCTCTCTCAGATTTGTTTGTTTTGTGATGATATCTTCAATTCTCTATTTATTTTGGTGAATATTTTTGTAATTTTTGGTAAAAAGTGATATTTTCGACTTCTTGTTAAAAACTGTAAGTCCGATTGCTTTGATACTATTCATATTGTTCATTTTCTAATGATGTCTTCAGTTCTTTAATTGAAATGTGCATTGCTAACAGCGAAGCTATCTCAGCCGACAGGCTGCTTGTTTAAGGTGTTATTTTAAATTTTCCTGATGTCTAAAGTTTCATCGTAGTCATTGACGCTATTCAAGAGTACATGCATGATGTTTATTGCGACTAGCATGAATGGGTAAGCTTCGTTTCGACAATGAGCTTTTATCAATGTAAACAATGTTAAATTATATTTTCCCTTTATTTTACTTCATGAACATCAAACAATATTTTATATGTTAATATGCAACTTTGCTTTCACAATCATGATTTAGTGAAGCAGCGGGGACAGACCGGATAAAAGTACATCCTTGGGTTTGTAGCAATGACTTAATATGGCAAATAAGTGAAAAGCAAAGACACTAGATATGTAAAAGTAAGTGAGCTCAATAAGGAAGATGGTTTGGATATTGGCTTAGTAAGTTGGATCCTTTATTTATGAACAGACAGATCTTGCGTACGATGACTTTTCAAAATTGTTGACCTACGGAAGAAGGAAATTTATCGTTGAGTACAAACGACTGTATACCCAATGTCAAAAGTACCAAATGACACCCCCCTCCCCCATGATGCTGTTCTTCCTTTCAAGCTGTTGGATAATGAATCGACATACGTCAATGAAAGATTTGACAATCCCTACGGTGGCAAAAAAAAAAAAAAAAGTAAATAAAATTTGGATAACTCAGAAACCCCTAGAGGTACAAATCCATTGGATAGATATGGGAAGAGAACCAGATGCATGGTCTGTTAGTCAGTAAACCACTGGGCTACGGATTGTTGAGATAAAGATGAACAAAAAGGCCTGAATGGTTCAAAAGAATGATCCAGTTAACTAGACATGTAATATAACTTTACTTACTAAAGAACAGCCTGATAATGAGATTGATAATGACTGAATCATATGGATGTTCTATAATTGATACTGCATGTACACGCACTGTGTGTGGAAGAAAGTGGCTAGAGAATTATTTTGGATGATCTTAACACCATACAGAAAAAGGCTTCACGTTTTGTGATGGTAAAAAGGTAATTTCAAAGGAAAATGTCATACCGGTACTACCTGCAAAGATAGGAAAAAATATTTGCAAGATAAATACAGAAGTGGTAGATGTAGATATACCTCTGTTTGCAATGACAAAGCAGAAATGTTCAAAGTGCTTGTCAAACTATTGATGTCTCGGTGACATTATTGTGTTGTGAGAACAAAATTACTGATCAACAAGCTATGACCTTGATGGCTGATGATACAGAGCCTGAGGTGAATGAAAGTAAAATGATGATTGGTAAGAATATAAATAGTGGATCAAAAGAAAATCTTGATTAAACTGCACAGCTGATTTGGGCATTCCTCGGCAGAACACTTAAGAAAATTAATGGAGAAATCTATTGAAGAGAAGTTTATATCCGGCCACCCAAAGAGGCAAATTATATGGCATTTTAAAAAAATTTGTGTTTGGGTTGGGCGATGAATCTTTGCACAGGCACCAGAAAGTAAGGTCGGTGATGAGCAGATTAGGTGCAACCGTGTCAAAGGTAGACCCCGCAGTTTTCTACTGGATGGATAAGGATGGTTGTCTCAAGCCATGTTGATGATTTTATATGGGGTGGTACAAAACGATTTGAATCCTCAATTATTGATCATGTGAGAGTAAATTTCAAAGAGGATATTTATGCATTCCATTGGAATCAGGCTAATTAGTGAAGATTTTGGAATAGCATACATCAGAATGACTACACAGATAACCTAAGACAGATTCTTATTGAAAAATCCAGAGCTAAACAACAAACCACCACCCTACAAACAAAGTCAAACAAATGGACAGATATTATGGATAGCACATCAGAGTTGAATGATGCATGTAGTTTAGCATGGCGAGTCAAGACTGGGACAGTGAGAGAAGTTCTCGATATTATTACAGTTACAGTGGCCCCTCGCTAAGTCGCGCCTCGGTAAGTCGCGATTCGGCTAAGTCGCAGGTACTTGGATGGCTCCCAAAATTTCTATTGTGTTTTGACAGCAATTTTGAAGTACAAAGACTAATGTTTCGTGGCATAGTGTTTTTAACTAACCGTTAAAGAGACAACTTAACACCTACTGTCCGTCAATTGCTGAGATGCAATGGGTGACGGCGGCCTTACTCAAGGTGTCAACAGGGGTGTCGAGTAGTGACCGTACGTACTTCTTGGCCGGTCCCATTTTGGTATACCTCTACAAAAACTCGCTACAATGAGTTGAATTCATAGAATTCTGATCTCTATTTCTCAATTGAGCAGCATGTCAAAGCGAAAGCTATACAGCCTGTT